TACTTACTACTACACACACACACACACACACACACACACACACACACACACACACACACACACACACACACACACACACAACATATATATATATATATATATATACATATACATATACATATATATATATATATATATCAATCAATTATATATATCTTTACAAATATTTTTATAATTTTTTATAACATTTTGTTTTGAATTCCTAGCTTGTTAATTACAATCACATTGAATTTGTACATAATTTATTTTTAAAATGATACAATCATTGATAATTTATATATAGACTATTTGTCTATATATAATCATTATAAAAATTAATTTTAATTATAAACTAAAATTATAATTTTAATTATAAAACTATATAATTATAATTATAATGTTTATTATATTATTTTGGTTTTTCTTAAAATGCGCTTCAATTACACGCGATACCGTGAAAATTCCAATGATAAAGGGAGATAGAAGAAAAAAGGACAATTAGCATTAACATGAAAATTGATTGAAAACTATAATATCGACTGTTATAAAATAAATAATTGTATGATTATTTGAAATAATCTTTATTTTATATTTAAATACTGTAGAAAAGCAAATAATCGATTTAAAAAAATTTAAATAATTTTGATTTAATAAATTTTAATTTAAATAAAATTTATGGAAACTGCTTGCAAGTATGAATCGAAACTCATTGAAATTATATAATATATATTATATATTATTATATAATAAATTATATAATAATTTCGTATAATTTCATAAATGTACGAGACTGAGCTTCATGTTCAATTTTGAAAACGTCTATATTCATCATTGAACGACTGATCTCGTGCTAATTTCTCTTCCTTTGTGTAATATCTCATTTTTTTTCACGAATGATTTTTTTTCTCTCCTTTTTGAACAAATTCGAGATACGTGCGCATACGTTTGTTGATGGAGTCGCATTCTCAAGATTACACCGTGAAATTAATTTGAAATGCGCGAGACATAACTATAATATGACACTACAGTATAAAGGATAAATTTGAACTGTGAACAAATGCAAATTGCAACGAAATAACTAATATTGACTCCGGTAATAACACAGAACTAGCAAGAATAGATTTTTATTTGAGGTTTTATGCAACAGCACTGTACTTTATGTAGAGAGTCTGCAAACTGCTTATCAAGTACAATTAAAAGATATTAACTTGATATAATTTGCGTTTGTTCTTAAGAATCTGTTATATCAGAGAATTGAAATTTTTCTAAAATTTTCTTCTTATTCCTTTTGTTTTTCCTACAGAAAAACTTTCCTAGATTACGCAAATAAAATTTTTTTATCGGGGAAAATCTTTTTGGTGCGCGCATAAATATAAATATAAATTTTCTAATTTATTCATTGTGCAAAAAGAAAGATTTCATTTTATCATATCCACGCAGATTTTTCATGTATTATATATTCTTCTCTTTGTAAATATACTCTTTGCACAATATTTATATTATTTTAGGATATTTCTAAATTCCTCTAACATACTTTAATTCCAAATTTAATCTAATCTAATTTCTCGGTAATAAAAAATTTCGCACATTTGAACATAAGGAAATTTATTTATTATAATTCTAAAAATTGAGAAGTCCAGAAGTTTGTAAGAGGAATTTAGAAATAACCTGCATATACATATATAAATATATACATACATATATATATATATATATATATATATATATATATATATAT